TATTGGAGAATTCTACACAAGAATCAAAGGGTTCAGTCTACCCGAGGGAGTCACAGCGTGGACCTCATTTTTTCGAACTCTCACTGCCAACCAAATCCAGTGGACGCTCGGATGGTTGCCCGTTGAGGAGATCATATACATGCCGGCAACCAGGCCCCACTTTCTGTTAATGGGACTTAAAAGCATCCAACCGTATGCACCATATCGAGTTTTGAGGCAACTTGGGAGGTATCAAGTAGTACTAAAAGATGAAGATCTGAGTACCCAAGTAATTGAAATCAGCTCGGACGGTCATTTCCCCGAAGAGGAAATTCGCCAAATCTGGAGTGAGTGCCAACATCTGACAGCAAACACTTGTGTGATGGATGCATCAAAAGGGGAAGTTGCCCCAGGGTATCACGCTTGGTTCAGAGGTGACCTATCCTACGAGAGACCAGCTAAGAGACCTCATCTCAAAGATTTCGTTGAGTCATCCCAAGGGCAATGGAACTGGTTAGCAAAAGAAAAGGGGTATCGGGCAGAGATCGGTGATTTGAAGCTACAAATTGACAGTTTGAAATTCAATAACAGCATACAAATCGTTGCGGATCGAAGCAAAAAGAATAGATTGATCCAAGAGAATGAAGAACTTAAGGCCCAAATCCAGAAATTGAGATTAGCCCTTGATGAACAACCCAGAAGTCGATCAGACGAGCAGTTGATAAAAGGTTTGAAAAGAGAAGTCAGGGAATGGCGAGATGGTTTAGAAGAGTCTGAAAATGTCATGGCAGAGCTCAAAGCACAGTGGGGTACAAGAACAGATAAACATCGCCGATACTTGAACCAATTGAAACACGACCACGAGAAACCTGTTGCTAAAATGAAGAGAGAGATGGCTACACTTGAGGTCAAAGCAGCTAAACGGGCTGAGGATTTCCAATTTGAGAGCAGATACTGTTACGACCTGTTGGCCCAAATGAAGACAGAAGTGCGGCAACTGAAGAATCAGCATATACAAGACTCTCAGGTTTTAAAAATGTGCAGTGATCAGATAAAACGCCTGCTCATAGAAAAGAAACAAACCAGAGATAGGGTCAGGACCATCGCCCACGCCATCATCAGACGATGTCTACGGTGTGAGAACATGACCAGCATTACCGTTCTCTCGGCAATGATGAGTTATGTCAAGCAGACCATGCATGAGTTGGAGCAACTTGAAAGGGATCTCACACCTAGGACCGCGGCGAGGCCGAACGATGCCCCGCGGGCACTAATGTTCAAAACCATAATGTATTCATAGGTCGAGTCTGTATCGTAACATCTTCTGTCTATCTTTTCGCATCAGGGTGTTTTAGTCTGTTTGAGTCTATGTTTATTTTTCAGGTTTGCTCTTCCTTTTTTCAAAAATGTTAGTTGTAATAGATCGTTTCAGTAATAAAAGGTGTGTTTCTTCTTACACTCATTTGTTTTTGAACTACGTAATAATCTGATTCACGTGGCATCGTAATACGTAGGCAATCCTCGTCGGATCCGGTCGCATTTTAACCACAAAAATTGAAAACAGTAACAAAAGGAGAAAGAAAGAAAAATAAAAATAAAAACATAAAAAAAATAATAAAAAAAGAGAGAAAAAAAAGGGGAATCCTAAAAAGGAAGCTGGAATGACGCATGCTTTCGTCGCAAACATGTAGGAATCCACTTAACTGTATAGGTGCATCATGCCCCAACGTGAGATTGTCTATCTGTTATTTGTTTCGAATTAACCGTTCGTTTGTCGTTGTGTTCCTTCAGGTTTTTGGAAAAGGCGGTTGGTTTGGTGAAAGTCTGGCCTCGCACTCATACTTCACGAGGTCGAAAGGGAGTGTTCAATTACCTGTTATTAAGTCAGGAGGCGGTGTTCACACTTATTTCACAAGGTCAAAATGAAGCATAGAAATGTCTTCAGAAATTCCTTTGCCGACAGTTCCTGTTTCCGAAGAGAGTTCGATCTCGGTCGTCCTCACGCCCGAGTCCGCAACTGCGGAGGAAAATAGAATCCTACGGCTCTACATGTTGGAAATGCTGGATGACTGGAATAACGGAAAAGAGCCACCAAGCGTCGTCCCTAGATTCCCTGAGTTATTCTCCAGGACAAGCGGGACTTCTAATGTCCCCAAAAGCTATCCTGCCACCCCATTCGGGTACCCAGCCATTTCGGCCTTCTCTGTTGGATCGCCCTCTGATTCTTATCCCCGAGTGTCAACAACGGATGTAAACACAAACATCTTTACTGCACCACCCTGCCCGATCACGGAACAACTTGCTGCATACAAG